GGCCAAACAGGAGAACTTTTATATACCACAAAATATTTAAGAAGTACAACAAATGTTTATTAACATAATGGCAATGCCAGGCTGTCATTTTGGAAATTAAGAATTATGGCGGAGGACGGTGGCTCACACCTGTAATCCTAGCACTTTGGGAGGCCGAGATGGGTGGATCACCTGAGGTCAGGAGCTCAAGACCAGCATGACTAATTTGGTGAAACCCATCTCTACTACAAAAACAAAAATTAGCAGGGCGAGGTGTCGGGCACCTGTACTCCCAGCTACCTGGGGGGCTGAAGCAGGAGAATCGCTTGAACCCAGCAGACAGAGGTTACAGTGAGCCGAGATTGAGCCACTGCACTCCATCCTGAGTGACAGAGGGAGACTCATCTCAAATAAAAAAAAAAAAAAACAGAATATCACAGATTTTAGAAATTAAAGACAGTTAAAGAGAAAGCTTTGTGAGAGAAATCTCTTCCTGCATACCCACAAACTGTGTTTTTCCCCCTTATTCCATCTAGACTGGAAGTCCGGCATTATAGAACATAAGAAATCAAGAAAAAGACTGAAGTTAAAGCTGTGGAATAGACCTATTAACCAGAATAAAATAATAGGAGTGGGATAAAGGTAGCCTATTGTGCAGGAATTTCCTCTCTAACCTACTGCAGACCACTAAAACAAAGAACAAAATACCACCGTCCATGTTTTTAAAGCAGTTCAGCAGCAACAGCTCCAAGACACTGTACAGCACTGGTGTGCCAAAAGCAGCTGTGAGGTGTGTCCAAGAATTTGTAACGGTAACAGGCAAAGCACAAAGGTTTGGGAATTAATTCTTTTTTAAATATCAAGGTTGTACCTCTAATGATCTCACTTTCATCCATGAACATCCTGACAGGTTTTCAGGAGCCACATGTATGAATTCTTCTGTATGTGTTCATGGCTGGGGGTAAGCGGTCTAAGAAGGGGTCTAAGAAGAGTGGGGTTCCATGTACTTCCACTCTTTATCTTAATCTGAAGCAGACTCCTAAGTCAAGAGGGCAAAACAGCCAGAAAAGTTAAGGAGCAAGAACACAGCTATGCCTTATTTTCGTTTTGGGAATCTATAACACAAATTCAGCAAACTTGCCCTAGGGAAAGAAATCATAGCATTCTGCCAGAACTTTCCCGGACCAACGCCTATCACAATGGTTGATAAGAATGCACTGAGGATATTGGAGAATAAGGCCAGGTGTGAAATATGAATAAAGGCAGGGGGATACTTTCAACAGGCTGAGGGGAAGGGATGCAGGATTTTCTAGATTATTCAGATATCACTCATTACCAGTTTCCATTGAAGGCAGCATCTTTGTCACTTTTAAGCTTCTTCTTCCTTCCAACCTACCAAGCACAGTGACAACTCTGTTTTAGGCAATTTCTCACTCAGATAAATGTGAATGCTATGAAAAAGTTATACTATTTTGACAAGATATAAAAATAATGACAAGGAAACACTAACTTTGGTTTTAGGACTATAGCTCATTACTAGTATCTCCCTTTAATGACGTAAATAAAACACCAGTTTCAAAGAATTTTCAAACACACTATCTGACTGAATCTTTACAATAAACCTGGAATGTTAGTAAAGCTGGTATTCACCTCCTTTTACAGCTGACCAAACCCAAGTTTACAGACATTATAATTCACTAGAGATTCACAGACACTTTACCAGATGCCAGCCACTGTGTGAAGATGCCAAAACTCTGCCAAAAACAAAGTCCTTATCAATAACCATCTCCAAATCCAAAGAGGAGACCCCATGTCAACAACAACCACAACACAAACTATAGAAGCCAGCACTAACCTATGGAAGCACCCTCGAAGTCAGGTCCACATGTGTGACTGTGGCTAAGTAATCACTGACCTATGTTGGACAAAAGAAGTGTCAGGCTAATCTAGGAGCAGGGAAAGAAGCCAAGAAGCCAGAGCTTCCACCTCCTTGGCTGCCACTCTACTACTCTGCTCTCTGCTGTCTTTTCCCCTTAACACTTTTTTTTTTTTTGGAGACAAGGTCTCACTCTGTCTCCCAGGCTAGAATGCAGTGGCATATAAAGGCTCACAAGCTCCTCAAGTGATCCTCCCACCTCAGCCCCTTGAGTAGCTGGGACTATAGGCACACACCACCAAGCCCAGCCTATTTTTTTTTTTGGTAGAGGCAGAGTCTCCGTGTGTTGCCTAGGCTGGTCTCAAACTCCTGGGCTCAAGTGATCCTCCTGCCTCAGCGTCTCAAAATGCAGAGATTACAGGCCCGGGCCACCATACCTGGGTTTAATACTTTTTTGTTTACTTCCTTTCTCAACTTAGGGTACTTTTCCATGTTACATAATCTTATACGTTTACTTATCTATACATACCCTACATATCTCTAAAATGACACTAGCATAAATGAATTCGATAGGAAACATTTCTTTCATTTAAGTACTTATGTTTTGTCCCACAAATTATGAAGTACTTTGAGGATTCAATTAATTCCTAGCAAGCACTCAAACACAACTACAAGATAATGAGAAATTGAGGGAATAATGAATACATTGGAGCAGAAATTAGCACTATGCAAAAATATATTTGAAACGTGTAGAATCTAAACTGCATATATATGATTTTCCCTAAAGAGCCTTAACAAATGCAGTACAGTAGATCCTGTCAAATTTCTAAATTAAGTCTGTCAGACCGCCTAAGAGAATCTAATCACCAAAAATTCTCAAATCCATCCATTTCTTTCCTTATTCTCTTTGAGAGACAGTCTCGCTCTATCGCCCAGGCTGCAGTGCTCCAAAGCTCAAGTGATTCTCCTGCCCCAGCCTCCCAAGTAGCTGGAACTACAGGTGCACACCACCTTGCCCAGCTGATTTTATTTTAATACTACAGAGACATTGTCTTGCTATATTACTCAGGCTGTTCTGAACTCATGTCTTCAAGCCACTGTAGCCTCCCAAAGTGTTGGGATTACAAGCATGAAGCCACTGTGAACTCAAACTGTACTTCCATTTTTTAAAAATGTGCCATAAGCCAGGCACGGTGGCTCGTGTGTATAATCCCAGCACTTTGGTAGGCAGAGGCAGGTGGATCACCTGAGGTAAGGAGCTGGAGACCAGCCTGGTCAACATGGTGAAACCCTACTTCTACTGAAAAAACAAAAAATTAGCTGGGTGTGATGGCGGGCACCTGTAATCCCAGCTACTCGAGGCTGAGGCAGGAGAATCGCATGAACCTGGGAGGGAAAAATTGTAGTGAGCCAAGATTGCACCATTGCACTCCAGCCTGGGTGACAAGAGCAAAACTCCATCTCAAAAAAAAAAAAAAAAAAAAAAAAAAAAAAAAAAAAATGTGCCACATATCACGACACTTTTAAAATTTGAATGATAAATTCAAAACAATTGCAAGTATATGCTGTTATTATATGTAAAACAAGATCACAACAGCATCTACTTCCCTAAGGTTGGTAAGGATTAAACGACTTACTATGTGCTAGCGCTCATATTCATTAGATATTTTGAAAAATACCCCAGACTCAGCAAAATCTATCAATCTAAAACTTACCGTAAAAATAATAAGATCATTGGCCGGGCATAGTAGCTCATGCCTGTAGTCCCGGCACTTTGAGAGGCTGAGGCCAGTGGATCATCTGACGTTAGGAGTTCGAGACCAGCCTGACCAACATGGAGTAACCCCGTCTCTACTAAAAATACAAAAAATTAGCCAGGTGTGGTGGCCCATGCCTGTAATCCCAGCTACTCAGGAGGCTGAGGCAGGAGAATCATTTAAGCCTGGGAGGCGGAGGTTGTGGTGAGCCAAGATTACGCCATTGCACTCCAGCCTGGCAACATGAGT